AGACTCCCTGTGCGCTTAAAGAACAAAGAATAATCATTCAATGAGGAAGAATATCCCTTAAAACTCAGAGCTCCAGCAAGTCTAGCATACCATTGCCTAGATGCTAGCTTTAAACCATATAGAGATTTCCTCAAGAGGCATACAAGTTTAGGACTAGAAGGATCCAATCATGCTGGGAATTCCATGTATACCTCTTCTTGTAGGTTTCCATGCAAAAAAGCATTGTTGACATCTAACTGAGAAACAGTCCAATCTTTCTTGGCAGCAACAGTGAGTAGACACCTTATGGTTGTCATCTTTACCACTGGCGAGAAGGTCTCACTGTAATCTATGACTTCTCTTTGAATATCCCCCCTTACTACTAACCTTGCCTTCAATATTACAACTCTCCCATCTGATAAGTGCTTCACCTTATATATCCATTTACAAGGTAAAACTCTTTTTTCTTTAGGTAACTCAACCACATCCTAGGTTTGGTTGTCCTCTAGAGCTCTAATTTCTACATTCATAGCTTTTATCCATCCTGGATGTTGGCAAGCTTGGCTAAAAGTGGAAGGTTCTGTTAGAGTAGAAAGGGATTTCATGACATGTTGGTTATTGGGTGAGAGAGATGAAAAACTACATTCTTTGGGCTGACAGGGGTGAGTGAAACAGGTTGTAGCTACATCTGTGAACATGATGCTACTACATACAAAATCTTTCAAGTAAAGTGGTTGAGTAAATACTCTTCCTGATCTCCTCAAAGGAAAGGAATAGGCTTTTGAGGTATAGGAATAGGTGTCCTAGTGTGTGATGACTCTAGGCCAGGAGAGACTTGAGTTGTGCTAGGTGAGGCTGAGTGATGACGAGGAGTATAAGAAGGGGTTGATAGTTGTGGTGAGAAAACATCTGTTGTTTCATGATATGAGAAAGTAGAATGTGTTTGATCTGGTGATGTGGCTGAAAAGGTAGGTTCTGTGGTGAAGGTTGAAGTTGGAAAAATAGGATGGTGTGCTATGTTGATTTCTGCAAAGGGGAAGTGTGATTCATGAAACCTTACATCTTTGGACACAAAGACTTTCCTTGTGGACAACTCCAGTAGTTTGTATCCCTTCTGTTGAAGAGGGTAACCAAGTAGTAAAACACAGCTGTTGCCCTCTCATCAAGCTTTCCTCTTCCTTGTGCCAATGTAGAATCATAACATAGGCATCCAAAATTTCTCAAATAGTCATACTTGGGTTTGTGCTGAAATATGACCTCATATGGTATTTTCCTTGAAGACACTGGAAGGCGACCTATTGAGAATATGTGTGGCAGCCAGAATAGATTCTCCCCAATAGCACATAGACAGCCTAGATTGAAACATTAGACCTCTAGCAATTTCTAAGAGATGTCTATATTTCCTTTCAACAATCCCATTATGTTGAGGTGTTGCTACACAAGACAACTGGTGCAGAATTCCTTCTGAAGCCAGAAAAGCTGCTTCTTATGTTCCTTTCCCCAATTCTAGTGCATTGTTAGATCTTATCATTCTTACTTTCACATTGAACTGTCTTTCAACCATAGACAAGAAGGATTTGAGCATAGGAAATGCATTTCTCTTAGAGGATAGCAAAAATGTCCATGTTCCTCTACTATAGTCATCCACTATAGTAAGAAAATATCTAAACCCGTTATAGGTATTGGACTTGTAAGGTCCCCATGTGTCTGTATGTATGAGATCAAAAATGTGTTTGGACTTAAGGTGCTGACAGGGAAAGAATTCCTTGTCTGCCTAGCTTTAGGACAAACATCACAAATAAAATTAGAATTAGATTCACAATGAAGGAAATATAAATGTTTCATTTCTAAAAATGGGAGATGTCCCAGCCTCACATGCCAAAGTTTAACATCAGGAATAGCATTAACATGGACAGGACTAGAAAAAGACATAGACTCTGAAATGGAATTTCTTCCTTGTTGAATTGAAGATACATTACTACTGAACATACCCTTAGACTTAAGACTACTAGGATCCAAAATGTAGAGTCCCTCTCTAGCTTTACCAAAAGCTTGTGGACTCTTTATTGAAAGGCCCTGCAACACACACCCAATAGATGTGAATAAAACATCATATTTGAACTGAATGCAAAACCTATGAACTGACAATAAGTTGTATTTGAAATCTGGAACATGTAAGATATTGTTGAGAACATGACCTGGGAGAATAGACACACTTCCTATATGACTAACAATTACCCTGAAAGAATTAGGTAAATTTATGTTCAAAGGCACAAGAAGTTGAGTAAGAAACAAGAAGGAGTTAGGATTAGAACACATATGTTCTGAAGCACCTGAATCAATGATCCAAGTGTCTGAATTTAGAGTGGTAAATACTGAACCTGAGTATTTTATAATAGTACCAGCAACTGCATTAGCATTGATTCATGAATTTCCTGCTTGTGTGAGCTTTGCTTGCTTATACATGTTTATCATTTCTGCAACTTGCTCCTTGTTGAGTTGTTGCCCAAAATTGTTGTTGTTTTTAGCATTTTGTCCTGCCCAAGTCTTATGGTCCTCATGTGCTAAGACTGCATTCCCCTTGATCTGATTTTGATAGTTCTTTTGATTGGTAAACTCAAAATCATCTGGAAATCCAATAATTCTATAGCAGTCTTCTTGTGTGTGCCCTGTTTTTCCACAATAGGTACATGATACATTTGGATTGTACCTCTTCTTTGCCTTAAACTTCTGCTGTGGTTTAGTGAACTTTTATCCTGAATTATTGTACTTTTGTCCCAATGTTGCTCCTCTTTGTGCTTGGTTTCTGTTTTTCTGAAAATTTCTCCCCTGTCCTGTTGCCATGAAAGCTGCAAAGTCAGCTAACAGTTGGGCATTAGGTTGTTTGGCTTCTCCAGTTGCCATGAATGAAAGTGAATCATAGTTGAAACTTGCATTTGCATATACTTCTCTTTGATTTTCATCTTGCAAGAGAAGAGAGTTAGGCAACATCTATGCTACGCAAGGGATTCATCATAAGTAAGTTTCCTCTTGCTTGTGCATAGATGTCATTTAGTCCCATTAGAAATTGAATCAGCCTCTGATCCTCAAGTGATTTAGTTAATTTGCTTTCCTTCACAAGTGCAGGGACATGAGCAACATATGACAACATTTAAGGCAACCAATTCATCCTACGGTCGGTTTAGCTTAGTGAAATACCCTGCAATATCACCATTTCCCTGCACTAATCCTGATAGCTCTTTTTGCAGATGATATAACTTGGCTCCAATCGATTTTCCAAATCTCTGCTCCAAGCTATCCGAAAGCTCCTTCGCAGTTTTGGAGTATATCACACTGTCTGCGATATCCTTAGAAAGGGCATACAGAATCCAGGAAAGCACCATGTCATTGACACAGCTCCATTGTTCATGGTCTAGGGAACTCAGATCTGGAGATTTGCATGCTCCATTGATAAACCTAAGTTTCTTCTTAGCTGATAAAGACAACAAAATGGACCTCCTCCATCCTAGATATCCTCTTCCATCAAACAAAGTGTTGACTAGAGTCATCCAAGGAGAATCAGAATTGTTGAGATGATAGGGGTGATTGATAGCATAACTCTCAGCTTTTGCAGCGCTGCTGGTATTTGCAGTTTTGGTTGTTTCACCCATTTTAGATTGGTGAAGATGATTTGATGTAGAAGATTAGATGATGTAAATAATCTAAGATAATTGGACTGTTGGATCGAGCTAGGTGCTCTGATACCATGAAAGAACTTGAAGAATAGATTGTGAAATTTTCTGTATATTTCATCATCTTCATATACATGCTTATATACAATTGCTAAAGAATCAAAAAATATCAGGAATAGAAAAATCTGTACACTTGTCCTATTCTAATTAGCCTACTAATAACCAAAATATTCTTTCTAGTAACTAACTTATATTCCCTCACATGTTATTCACGTGAGGGAAACTTCTAGTATTAAACAAATCTGAAGGCCTCTATTTAATCAATCAAGAATTGGTTTTGCATGATTTAGGTTGTATCGAAACTCTTTGTCTGAACTGAACATCTCTGCTAGGCCTTCTTCTTCTTCTTCTTCTTCTTCTTCTTCTTCTTCTTTATCTCGTCTTCTTCTGTAGACGAAGATCTATGAATGTCACAATGCCGTTAAGCCCACATGGGATTGGATCAAATCTTTTAGCCCAACATAAATTAAATGAGACTTTTAAGTATGCTCATTTAGATATGTCGTTTAAAATATATCTACACTATACAATATATATAAAGATTAGCCAATTTCGCTCAAACTTCAGGACACGACGTCCTAGAGTTTAAACCTCAAAGTTTAAACTTCAGGACGTCGTGTCCTAAAGATCGAAAATTGTGTCCTGAAGTTCGAATCTTATGTCTTGAATTTTAAATTAGTAATTCAGAAAACTTAGTCTGGAATTTCAAATTAGCAGCTTAAAAATTCAGGACACCAAGATTGAAAATTGTAAATATATTTTAAATAACGGACTTAAACCTCTCAAGGCTGGATTGGGATAGCATTTTATAGCGATTGTTGCATAAATAATCCGTCAAATTCGATGTCGTTAGCCATGATTCTTACCATAAGACCGCGGCAGGACGCGTAAACTTCTGAACAGACACCTTTTCCAGAACAAACATCACACCTCGAAATATTTTCTTATTCTTTGTTGTTTTCCAATTTCTTTTATTCTTCTAACAGTATTCTTTATTGTTTTCCAGTTTCTTTTATTCTTCTAACGGTTTTCTGATTTTGTGTTTTATTCTTCTAACAGTTTTCTGATTTTGCGTTTTAACACAGTAACGTATTGTGTTCAAGTGACATTTTTAGAATTAAAAAAAAAAAAAATCAATACGTTGTTCACTGATTTCCCATAGTTCAGCAACCCTTCAAGCAATAATCCAATAACCCTAATTTTGATTTTCTATTATTTACAAGTCACTAAAGTCCAAATGAATTCCTTCAGACTTCCTTGAACATAGGTCAAATTTGTTTTGAACCAAGGTAATGCAAATTATTATATCATTAGCATCAGTATGCTACCACTGAACTTGCAACAGTTTGACGCACATGTACAAAGGAAAAATCTAGGAAACCAAAAGTAGGCATCAAACATTCTAATATTATCTTACAAGCATTGTTTTTACTGATGTGTAGCTAAGCAATTCTTGTTCAGTATTTATGCTAAAACAAGATGACCGAGTGATCAAGCGCTGAAGCCCTGGTTGGCAGCGTTATACTCCTCTATCTTATGCGCTTATACTCCTCTATCTTATGCGCATTGCAAGCAGCCATAAAAGCTTCCTCCATAGCATCTCTCGACACTCCATTGTTGCAAATGTTTGCAAATGCTCTCATGTGCTTCATCCCGTATTGTGTTAGAGAACCACAATGTAGCTCGAAAAGGCGAACCTGGTAAAGAAAAACGAATATTAAGTTATATCATGGGGGAATTCAAGTCAAATTTGATCAACATTTATCAAATAATTGCATAGATCTTCAGATTACCGTCGATTTTAGGCAATCCCAATCATCAACGAGAGGTAAACCCGGCTCTCTAACAGAGTTGAGAACAGAAGAACCCTTTGTTGGGCCGAAAAGAAAGACTCCAATTGCATCTACGCTCCCCTCTAGATGTTGTCTATGCAGCATTGTGTCCGTTATCTCTTTCCGAAGCCTGGCCTTCTCCAATGAATTGTCTGCTAGCGTCTTATACTGTAGAGATCAAGAAAACATGTATCAAAACTGAACCAAAGCGAATGACATTGACTTATACCACAAAGCATCACTATAAAAAGGATGCTTGTGGTGTTTCAACTGGTGGTCCCTTCTAAATTTGTACAATCGTTGACAGGTGGATTCCTAGCATTGATAATTCCAATTCAAGCTCTAGTTCAATTGAAAGTATCAGCCACATATTGTAATCTACGATACATTCCGCTTTGAGAACAGTCGCCAGATAGAACACAAAACAAATGCAACTGTACTCACTAGATAAACTTGTTGTCCAGCCTACGCTATATGTTGGGTGTGTGAACTATATCACACATTGGTAGCTGAAAAGATAGGAATCTCTTAATGCTGTGAGACGTTTTGGGGAAAGTCGTGTGGGCTTGACCCAAAGCAGGCAATATCAGACAATATCACAATATCACACCATGTGAAGAGTATCTTTGGGCTGATTTAGCCCAATACTATATGACCACTAAATATTTCTGCTTATCCAATTTCTATCCTTCTCGTACTTTCATGCGTAAAGAACTAATCAAGTATAATGTAAAGATACACAAAAAGAATTATGCTATGGAAATCTGAATTCGGACTTACTCTCTCCCATAAGAAGAGAAGATCAGCATCCCTCTGGTTGACAACCTCCAAGTGCGCAAAATCAATCTTGTTTGCAGGAAGATTCGAGGTGGCAGGATCAAATCCTTGGTACAAATAAACTTTTTCTGGCTTAATTTCTTTGCTTCCATATTCCATAACATGAGATCCAGCATTATAGTTGTTGAAGTTGGACGTTCTTTCCTTCACCTACAGCGATGATATAGCATTCAATGATGATGATGGCACACAAAAATATACTTGAGGCTCCAAATAAAAGTATTTTCGTTAAGTCACCTTCTCGTACTGTTGTTTTATTGTTTCCTTCTTCAGGTTATGAGACTCACTGAAAACAAGTTAAACATTGGGTAATCATCAGCAATTCGGTACCTCACTTAGTTTTTAATATCGCGTGGACAGATTCGTTTTACAACAATAATTTTCCAAATCTTACAACCAATCAGTCAAGCAATCGTTTACTTTGCATTACCTATCCTCCATCCATGCAACACTATATAAGTCTCCCAAACATGTTATATATTCCGGTGGAGGTGGAGGATCCATTCCTGGGCAATACGTCCCCCAGCTGCTCTCTTCGGCATTTGATGCTGTTGTCACATAAATATTTAAGTCTTCAGGCATCATACCCTCAAAAACACTCCCGCTCTCACCAAAAACACTCCCGCTCTCACAAGCTTCAATGTAGAGGACCTGCATAAAGCAGAACAAACAGAAAACTAAGTATGTTTGGGTCACCAGATAGACCTATCTCAAATGGTTCTACAAAAGGCATAACAATTAAAAAGGGCTTTGTACTATGTACCATTTCTTTGTAGGTCCCTGCTGCATGTTTCTTTTTCAAGACCTCAATTAAATCTTTGGCATAAAGAAAAGGCATGTTTGGCATCCCTGGGACAGAGGAAGTGAGAATCAAATTAACTTAACACAATTGTCTTTCAATCGACCGCTAATAAGCTGCATATATTATTAAAGATTTATTTGACAATTCATGTAAACAAGATACAAGTTGGATTATAGACTCACCGAGCACCCCTGGACCACCATGATCAGAGTAATAGAGAAATATTCTGTCATTCGGTTTACTATCGACAACCTTCCCACTTCCACCTTTCACAGCACTCTTATCACCAAGAAGCACAGCATACAGATTCGCAGCAGTGACATGCTCACCAGTGTAGTCCTATTATAATCAGTTTATCATTGTAAAGTTACTGCTTGCTAAAGGAAGGGAGAAGTATACCCTCTAAGACTAGTCAATTCCATGAATTTGGCGCCAGTTCTTCAGCTACTTCGGATTTCCCCTTGTAGCCAAACCAGCCGATTTGGTAAGAATCACTAATTCACTCTGCCTTTGGATTCGATTATAGAACTTTTATGATAAGAATGCATCGAAAAGAGGCTTTAGCTTTTCGATGGTTCACACAGCCATTCTCCCAAATAAAGGTTCCATGCCATTTTGAAGTCTAGGGAGTGTAGTTGCCTCATCAGCAGTGGGGAGAATTCTATAAGCTTGAAATTATATGCTTATTTAAAGTTCAATGTTTTCGCCTAAGAATTGAACCTCAAAGGAACTTGGGGCACCATATTTAATATAAGTAAAGATAAAACATTCTAATATAAGTAAGATTGAGGTACCATAATTAATGGCGAAATGACGATACAACTACTCCCTCTGTTCCAATACCGTCAACCCAGTATATGTGTGGTTATAAAGCTTCTCACTAAGAATAGAATTGGGAATTTAATTGGCCAGCATAGACATCACTGCCATTTGGATGATTGATTATGACTCCAGGCCTTGGATTCAGCTCACTTTTGGCAATGTCATCATACATGAATACAACTATGTTCTCATCTTTCAATCCTCCTCTTTTCAAAATCTGGTAAGCATGACATACATCTGCCTGCATTCACCCCAAAAATGGCTTCAAAACCAATAAGCAAAGCAATTCTAAAAGTCGCCAAATAGTAAAATTACTTGATTTGTAAATGGAACTGCAGCTCCATCAGAGCAATATATACCAATTCATTTAATAGCATCGATCAATAACCTAGAACAAACGGCGACAAGTAAGTAGCTATGACATGTTAAATTATACTAATGGCGTAAAGAATTCATTAAGAGTGACTCTGTTTGCATGAATGCTAGCAGAGTCAACTTCCATCACCAATTCTCAAGATTCCTCTGATAAGAACTGCAGCAACGCATTTAACAAATTAAAGGGTACTGCCCCATCCTAATTCGTTTGCCACTCTTAGCTTCACCTAGAATTAATTCGACTAACTTCTGAAACTAAAATCAGACTGCAGTAATTCAAATTTTTAGATTAATATTACAACAATCAACAAATGTATCCATTTGAACCAGCAACAAGAACTGCCCAACGAACACTGTTGCTGTCTTCCACCTCATCATCACGATCTACCGGCGATCGTATTAAGGGGTCCCACCAGCGGTGCAGCCGCCCTATCCTTCTGCCATTTTTGGGTTCAAAAGGAATAGCAACCACCATAACCCAAAGAGAAGAGGAGCTGAATTATGTACACGAGTGCCCCTACGAAGACTTGTGGGTCCAAAGGTCGTGCTTTTATACCAGGTGGTGGTTTTAATATTTTGCTGTTTGTCTTTGTATGGCCTTGCTCAGAGGAGTGGGAAAATGCTGCTTGATTTTTCACCGGAGCTGACGCTGTGATTTTTCTGTTGGTTGTGTCAAAAAATTGAAATGCTAGATTTATGGGCTTGCCTGTGTTGAAAAAGAATATTATACTAGATTTTTTAAGATATTTGAATCAAATTTGTATTTTGTTAAATCTGATTAATCTCGCCTAGGTAGACCATATATTTGTAAATTTGTCCTTGCTCGTTAAACGATAATGTTCGGTGTGCATGCAGTGTTATCAGGGGCGGAGGGAAAGCATTAATTAGGGTTCGACGAACCCAGCTCAGTATTTGTATTAAATCATAAAATACGTATAAATATTTAATTATAAACCTAATAGCTAAAATCAATTATGGGTTCGGTGACAAATTTAGAACCCATAATTTCAAATTGTAGCTCCGTCTCCGAGTGTTATCAGTGTATACAAGTATTGATACTCGACAGTCACCAACTTAAAATGTTGAATTCATGTCGGTTTCAAGGTTATGAAGTTTCGACGCTGTTTAAATTGTATAATCATCTTAATTATGGACCTAGAACTCTCACTTTCAAGCAATTAATGTTGTTGAAAAATTACCTAGTACAGAACTCCCTTCGGAGATGTTCTCACACCCATATTAACCTTTACTATCTCACATAAACACTCCTAAACATATTCCAACACTATTTACTCCAAGGACAATGTAGGAAAATAATTATAGTCAAACCCAGGAAATTGGAATGAGAAAAATCTAAGCTAATGGACTAAGGAGGCTTTTGTTGGGCCAAGGCATTCTTGTTGGAAGTAGAAAGTAAATTGATAAATCCAGACTTCAATGCATCGCGACAAAGTGACAGTCCCCTCTATGTGCTTCGTCTTCATGAAGATACCGTCTCCTAGAATCTGCACAACCTGCCTAGTCAGAGTCACAGTATCCTGGACATGACAAGGAGAGCCAGCCAAGTATCAAGAACATGAGGAGAGGCCCAGATCCTTGATTTGAACTGTCTCAAACAACCACAGTCAAGCACCCATTTTGAGACTTAGTAAACATAGAATAATCATTCAAACTGGGGTTGAACCCTTTAGATTGAAGAGTGGTAGATAACTTGGCATACCACTGTCTAGAAGCTTGTCGAAGCCCATAGAGGGACTTGTGAAGTTTACAAGCAAGGACAGAACTAGAAGCAGAAGGAGGGGACTGGACAGACAAACCAGGAGGCACCTTCATATACACCTCCTCATCCAAATCCCCATGCAAGAAAGCATTGTTAACATCTAACTGAAAAACAACCCAATTTCTTTTAATAGCTACTGTTAACAAACACCTATTGTAGTCAACTTGAACATAGGAGAGAAGGTCTCAGTGAAATCAACTCCCTCTTGTTGAGTATCTCCCCTCATAACTAACCTATCTTTATACCTCTTAATAGAACCATCTGCCCTTTGTTTTATTTTGTACACCTATTTATAAGGAATAGCTTTCTTCACTGAAGGAAGAGGTACAATAGACCAAGTATTGTTAGCCTCCAAGGCCTGAAATTCCTTAATCATAGCCTCCTGCCATGCAGGATTGCAAACAGCTTGATGATAGAATTGAGGCTCAAGCAAGCAATTTTCAAAAGAAGAAGGAAGGAAGAGTATGAGAACCAAAAGAGGATCAAGAAGGAGAGAAATCATAAGTAGGTAGGGCTGAAGAAGAGGAAGAAGGAGGAGAAGGAGAAGTAGGAAGAGAAGACGGGCCAGGGGGAAGAATTTAATGGGGGCATTCCTGGATTCCACGGTTTTAGCACTGTCCCTCAATTATTAATAATTGGCCTAATTTATTATTATTTGAAGTTATGGTCGAGTCACGTGAAATGCACACTCGAATTTGGATTTACGTATCGTGACCATGCCACAGAAACTGTACCCATAGTCACGATAATTTAATATTAATCGCGCCTAAGGCAAGCTACGATGTTCATGATTATTTTCCTAAAAATGATTTGAGATTATTGTAAGGCCAAGAGTTTATCGATATTGGATTATTTGTGGATAAGACGTATAGTTTAATTATTTGGATTAACCAATTATTTAACATTAAAACCAATAACCACTCACTTAACTACTAATGTTCCACCCTTGGGATTGTTTTGATTGATACCGGCATGGCAAAGGTATTGAGGATTCGAAAGCAAAATGAAAGGAAAAAAATCGAGTCATGCCTTATTAATGAAACAAACAAAGGATTTTTCTAGAACCCATCACCTATTCTTTTGTTCTTATCACTTACATCTCAACGTAATACATAACAAAAAAAATATAAAAGACTAGCAGGGCAAGAAAATCTCTTTCTTTCTCATTTCGCCCATCCTGGTGTCACTCAAATCGGATCCAATCTTTAACTAGTTATTGAACTTGCTGCGATGATTTAAGGTGGCAAGACACAGAATACAACATTTTGTAAAACCCATTTGTAACTCATATTAGGACTTATGTTAGGCATATGAATGGATCATTCATGCAGGCCCCCAAAGACAATTCATGGTTACCATAAAATCACCTGACAAAGTATTGAAATGAAGAATATATAAGCAGATTTCATAGCACTTAGAACATCAGCTGACAGCAAATAAGCTAAAGCTCTAAGTGTTCAACAGAATACTCAACAACAGTGAAAACAACGATTCCCTCCAATATAATAGCTATGAGAAACCAGGAGATAAACACAATGAAACGAGTAGAAACCAGGAGCTGAAGGCTATTTCGTGTGTGAGAGTGAGTGCTAAAGAGAGGTGTGCATATGTCACGACTCGCTTCCATAACAGGTCATGAAGAAAGTGATGGATAATGTAAGTAGCATAATAATAATACAACCCAAAAGTGTGTCCACTAATGTGTGTGCCAGAACCTGGTGTCACAAGCTACGGGCAGCTAGTAGAATATACACCAAAAGAATATCATACTATCCTACTATCTGAATCAGGGTAGACAGAAAATAAAAGTACAAAGGAAAGACTTCTTTGGCTACGGGTTGACATGGAGGAAAAGCAGCTCACCGTAGAAGTCTGTACCACAAGCTCAATGCGCACCGGACTGTTAACCAGATATATCTGCCTCAGATCCTGTACAATTAAGTACAGAAGCGTAGTATGAGTACATAAACAATATGTACCCCGTGAGTATCCCGTCTAATCTCGAAGAAGTAGAGACGAGAGGTTGACTTGATACTTACTAGGGTCAAGATAATATATCAATAATGTACTATGATAAGCATAAAAGTCTCCAATAGTTGACAGATTATAATGAGAAGCAAAATCATGTACTTAACCATATTCCGATTTAACCATCTACATTACTTAAACACTTAGCAAGAAAATATGTCATGACTAAGCTTTAGCATATATATATATCATGCGCAATCATGCTGAGGTCGACGACCCGCTCCAATAGAAAGTAAACTGTGCCAAATAAATTCTTATAAGGGTTTAACAAGTTCACATGTTCACTTTTATTTCTTCCAAGTCTCTAGCATATCGTAAATGATCATATTAACAAGTAAATGTATAGTAGCAAATTCTCAATCATACCTATGGGGACAATTCCGTCTTACAAGGTTAGAAAGGAGACTCACCTCGCTCCAAAGCGCCCAATATCAAAAGCCCAAGTCCTCAAATTTCATTTCATAACAAATTTCGTGGTTAAATCTTAGTTTTATTAAAACCCTAGGTCTAGCTCTAACCCCTTTGATTTTACCTAATTTTTGGTGTTTAATCTACCTAATATACATGTATTTAAACTAAGGATGAATGCAAATAACTTACCTCACAATGCTATGTTGAAATCCCCTCTTTGGAAGCTCTCAAATCGACCAAGTGTAGAGTAGAAATGAAATAAATGCTCTAAGTCCCGTTTTTAAAAACTATGCCCAACCCTCTGATGTCGCAATTGCGACACCAGGCTTGCAATTCCCCCTCCTGCCTTGATCGCAAATGCGAGGCAAATGCGGATCCCCAGGTCACATTAAATCAATCCCGTTTCTCCATTTCATTATGTTTTTTTTTAGGTCCTAAAATTTGCCATACTATGAATAGTTATAGACTTAAATTTGTCTCTATAAGGCTTAGGAACTACAGCAAAACACAAGCAACCTAATGTTCTGAGGTGAGCAAAAGAGGGAGAACACCCGTGGAGAAGTTCAAATAGTGATTTATGTTGGAGAAAGGGAGAAGGGAATCGATTAATGAAATATATTGCTGTTAATACACACTCACCCCTATATTTTACAGGCAACTTAGATTGAAAAAGAAGTGCCCTAGCAGTTTCAAGAATATGCTTGTGCTTCCTTTCCACCACACCATTCTGTTAAGGGGTGTGCGGGCAGAAAGTTTGATGTTTGATGCCCTGAGTAGAAACAAAAAAGAGATAGCCTCATTGCTGCTGCCTAACTCAAAAACATTATCAGACCTTATGGTTTTAACATTGGTATCAAACCGAGTATGGACCAACTAAATGAAAGATTTCAAGATAGAGAAATCATTTCCTTTAAAGATAAGACGTGACACCAAGTGGCCCTAGTAAAGTCATCTACAATAGTCAAAAGTATTTAAAACCATTGTAAGTTTGAGTGTGGTAAGGTCCCTACAAATCCACATGAATTGATTGAGGTAGCTTGCCAGAGAGATAAGGAATATTTTTTAATTTAGCAAAAGGGACTTGTCCCAGTCTCAAATGCCATACATGATCAACAGACAAATTAAAGGCAACACAAGCATCAAAAGCAGGTAAAATAGAATGAGAAGTAGTAAGCACAGAGGGACAAGAATGAAAACTGCTCTTATTCATATCATTCATGTTGGCGGTCATGGTATTTACAGAGGAAAATGCAGGA